ACACAGTTGTTAAGCAAGTAGAATAACAGTCACTAAACAAACTGGAGTAAGTTAAGGACTTAACAATGTCTCGTCAGTGAGGGATGAAGAGGGAGGCTACGTTATCTAGCATTCGAAGCACAAATTGTGGATGAAATAGAAGGCGAAATAGTTCAGGCAGCTGCTTTGAATAACAACATGCCTCCTTTAGTACGAGATACAAGTGATTTGCAGCCTGGGAAAATACCAAACTCCTCTAAAAACCGTAATTGTTTATGTTCACTACAACTACCAATGTAAACCCACCCCTGTTAAGTGCATAATGTAGAATGCAAATCCCTTACAAATGGAGCTATTTCAAGTCTGTATTTATATCTCTCTTGCTCATTAAAAAAAAAAAAAAGCTGTTTATTGGCTTCCTTTTCCCAGCTGGATTCGGCTTCACTTCAAGCTGTTGCTTTTTTCTTCTTCTTCTTCTTCTTTTTTTTGTCCCCTGGGATTTTAGTGAACTGAATAATTTATCACAAATCTACAGATTTCGTTAAGTAAGGACTGGGTTGCATTCATTCCTCTCCTGCAGAACTCTTGAGCACAGCCAAGAAACTTATTTATCAACTTTTTTAAAAAAAACTTATCTACATCTGTAAATTTCAAACAGAGACGGTTGCATTAGCAAGGGAGAAAGTGTTTTGACAACTTGTTTACAACCAAGAATGTCAATTATTGCTTCAAATTGTTCCTCCATTTTTTATTAAAAACAAAAAACCGAAACTTACACAAACAGACAAAAGTTTTGTCCAAAGGGCAACCTTATTTCCAATTTTCAAAACAAAACAATGTTTTTCCCCCCCTGACTTCACAGTTCTTTCACTGAAAGTCTGTATTTTTAGATTGATCTCCATCTTCCAGCTTTGAAAAATCCGATAAAAAAATAATGATTACAGGCCTACGGCCACAAATTGAGCCCAGAATTTCTGTTGCTAAGTGAGTTTTGCCTCATTTTACTATCTTTCTTGCCACTGTTGCTAAGCAAATCACTGCCCTTGTTAACTTGGTCATACGGTTGTTGAGTGAATCCTGACTTCCCCGTTGATTTTGGTCATCAAAAGGGGATCACATGGACCCGGGACAATGCGACCATCGTAAGAATGAATCAGTTGCCAAACGCCTGAATTTGGGAGGCTGCAACGGTCGTAAGTGTGAAAAATGGTCATAAGTCGCTTTTTTTCGGTGCCGTTGGAACTTTGAATGGTTACTAAATGAACTGCCCGTCTCTCTCTCTCTCTCTTTCTCTCCTTCATATTTGCAGGACAGAAGGAAACTCTATGACAATTACATTCAAATTCATCAAATAAAATGGTTATCATCGCCTGAAAAGACAAAGCAGCCCTGTCAACAATTCACTTTTTTTTCTGATTTTTCGCAGGGCGAACTTTCCACAATTCAGAATAAATTCCCGTTACCTGATTAAATCTCCTTGTAAAGGCAACAACATTCGGGGCGAGGATGTGTTTTTCTTTTTTATTCCATCCACAACTTGCAAGTTCCTAGAAAATACAACGGCAGGGTGGTTAATAATAATTTAACAAATGGCTCATTTCCATCACAAAAACTCAGGGTCAGAGAAAAGCGAAAGACCAAGAGAAATATGTATACAAAAAAAGCCTCAGCATTATCCTGTGGGATTTAAACGGCTAAAGGCCCTTACATTTAGTTTTGTCTGCAATACAGACACCAGTTCTGATTCGGCTCAGTTCCCTATCAGACTACGAAGAATCAGCTGGAAAACGAATTAAGGGAGAGCATCATATTCGCAGAATCCGGACCAAATGGGCCATGAATACAAAAAACATTTGGCTGCTTCCTATAACCTCTAGTCAGTTTTTTAGAAGGAAAGGAACACTTAAAAGAGAATATTTGCAGCTTGGGGTTGAACTGTGGGGTTCTTGGTGGTCTCTGAGCTTGGTGGTTTTCTTGCAGATGTTTCATTACCCAGCTAGGGAGCATCATCAGTGCTACAAAGGAGTGGGGTTTGTGAAGAGGTGGAGGAAGATGAAGAAGAGTAGGAAGAGGAGGACGAAAGGAGGAGGAGGAAGAAGGAGGAGGAGAAGAAGAGGAGGAGGAGGAGGAGAAGAAGAAGAGGAGGAGGAGGAAGGAGAAGAAGAAGAAGAGGAGGAGGAAGAAGAAGAAGAGGAGGAGGAGGAGGAGGACTGAGAGGTCCTTGGTGCTCTCTGAGGTTAGTTCTTTTCTTGCAGACGTTAGATTACTCAGCTAGGTAACATCATGAGTGCTAGCACTGATCACTAGCCCTGATGATATTACTTAGTTGGGTAATGAAATGTCTCTAAGAAATCAACCAAGTTCAGAGAGCACCAAGGACCCCACAAAAGAAACTCTCTCTGGATTGGATCTAGCCTAAATTGATCGACCTTGCCAAGCTGTGTGTCACCATGGGGCTTTTCCATTTACTTCAAAGAACTTAAAAGTTTCTACTCACAGTCTAAAATGTAAGGCAGAGAAAGCGTGGAGACGTTTGTGTGAATGGCACCGCGTCCCACAGAGGCCTTCTCTCCTCTGAAAACCAGAGGTGGAGGACTAGGGAACAAACCCACATCAACCCTGTTTTGTACACGCCAAGAAGCACAGCTGGGAGATGGACGGCTTTATAGAAACAAGAAATAAAGTGACTAATCCCTCTGGCCAGCCGTTTGTTGATGCAGTCAAGAACCAGCCACTTCTGCTAATGCCTCCGACACATAGTTTACACTGAAGGAAACTTCCGTTGGAAATAAACGGGCTTTGAGGATGGATGTTGGGGCTAACAAAGTTTGCACACAATGCCTCTGCACACCCCTTAGAGAAGCCACGGATACTTCCCAGACCGGCCTCTCCCTCTTGCTTATTGTAGGAAAAATATTTCAGGAGAGAAGAGATTTATTGCTTTTATCATTCCCTGAGCTAAGCAATTCACTGCCACAAGGCAAGCAACTTAAATGAGATTATTTTTATTTAACCTACTGTGGTCTTTTTACTACTGTCAACCCTTGGCTGGGTAACATTGCTTATATAAACACTCACTAAACAAGACAAGGGTAATGTGAATAAATTTGCCAAGCTTTTGAATGCGCCGAGATGCTGAAAGCAAGCAGAAATAGGATAGGTAAGACCCACTTAGCTATTTTTCACTCTATAAAGCTGCTAATGGCTTTCCCATTACTACAGCGCGGATCTGGAGTAGAGTGGCAAGCTATCTTTTGCAAACGTTTTCTCTTTATTTATTCTGAGATGGAGATAAGGAGAACCTTCTGACAGACGCAGAAATTAGATTTGTAGTTTTTTATTATGATGATGTCACGGTTATAATTCTTCCCTCCGCTTCAATGGCAGGAAAATGCTTTGCTGAACACATGTTCTCTAAGAAGCTGCTACGTTTTCCCAAGATAATGGTGGTTATTATTTAACATCATCAACAACAATCATAATAATAAATGCCAAAGCCAGTCTAAACAACTGGCTGTGCAACCAACCATAACAATGTATATATAACAATTATATGCTGCCCAGACCTCAGCAATTCATATAACCCACTCATCCATCCATCCATCCATCTGGTTACCTACCTACTTATCTACAGAAGGCTCTTGACAGATTTGAACATTGGGTTCTATCTAACAAAATGAAATTCAATGGTGAAAAAAGTAAGGTTCTACATTTAGGCAAGAAAAACAAAATGCACAGGTACAGTATAGGTGGCACCTTGCTCAAGAGTAGTAACTGTGAGAGGCATCTAGGAGTCCTAGTGGACAACCATTTAAATATGAGCCAGCCGTGTGCAGCAGCTGCCAGAAAAAGCCAACGCAGTTCTAGGCTGCATCAACAGAGGGACAGAATCAAGATCACACGAAGTGTTAATACCGCTTTATAATGTTTTGGTAAGGCCACACTTGGAATATTGTGTCCAGTTTTGGTTGCCAGGATGTAAAAAGACGTTGAGACTCTAGAAAGAGTGCAAAGAAGAGCAACAAAGATGATTAGGGGACTGGAGGATGAAACATATGAAGAACAGTTGCAGGAATTGGGGTATGTCTAGTTTGATGAAAAGAAGGATTAGGAGATGACAAGATAACAGTCTTCCAATATCTCAGAGGCTGCCACAAAGAAGAGGGAGTCAAGCTATCCTCCAAAGCACCAGAAGGCAGGAGAAGAAGCAATGGGCGGAAACTAATCAAGGAGAGAAGCAACCTGGAACTAAGGAGAATTTTACTAACAGTGAGAACAATCAATCAGTGGGACAACTTGCCTCCAGAAGTTGTGGATGCTTCAACACTGGAGGTTTTCAAGAAGAGACTGGAGAGCCATTTGTCTAAAATGGTATAGGGTTTACTGCCTAAGCAGGGGGTTAGACTAGAAGACCTCCAAGGTCCCTTCCAACTCTGTTATCCTATTCTATTCTAACCATGTTATTAACTTGGCAACCTATCTCTGCATGTACACCACACACAAACAGGAAAGCTGTATTTTTAGGTACATACCACCTGATCTTAAGCTTTCTTACGCTAGGAAACACATACTTGGTAGCATTTAATTTTCTTATGGCAATGTGAAAGAAACGAGAATTGGCAGATAACCTGAGAATCTAACACAGTAATATTATTTGAGTCAATAAACACAAGACCTTCACAGGTACGTTGCATTATTAACCGATTAATTAACAACCTCTTCCTTTCATATATATGAAAGCAGATTTTCCATTTCTAGTGGAAGTTTCATCCCGAGGTGGGTTTTGTGTGTGTGTGTGTTTTGAAGCTGGACCGTGTTTCCCAAGAAAGATTTAATGTATTGTTCTGATTACTCTCCCGTGGATAATAGCAGGAGTTACCGATGATTAATGCAACAGTTTTTTAAACAGCAGCAAACGTCCAGGAATAATCACAGCAATTGTGTTCCTTCCAACGAGGGTGATTAGTTTATTTTAAAATAACATATGTGAGTGATGTAAGCAAAATAATGGCCTCCTTGAAATCCCACAGAGCAGGCTAGGGAAAAACCCTCTTTCGGTTCTCAAAATTGACTAGAACGAACTGATCGTCCAGCGTTCTCAACCTGTGGTTGCCTAAACTCTCAAGGGTACAAGCCGTTATCCCCATCAGCTCAGATGCTCAGATGAGCATAGCTTAACATTAGACAGACAATCCAGGAGTAAACAATGCCCCAATCAAGGAACTTCCAAGATATTCCCATCAACACTGACAGGACAAGCTGCTAGAATATACACTGGGAGCAAACCTCACTCCCTACTAGGGGTGAAATGAGAAATCTGCAAGAAAACAACCAGGGATCCCACAGTCGTTTTCCTCTCCTTCCTCTCCTTCCTTCCTTCCTTCCTTCCTTCCTTCCTTCCTTCCTTCCTTCCTTCCTTCCTTCCTTCCTTCCTTCCTTCCTTCCTTCCGTCCATCCTTCCTTCTTTTCTTCCTCCTCTCCTTCTCCTGCCTCCTCCTCCTCCTCTTCCTTGCAAACCACACTCCTTTTTAGCACTGATGGTGTTACCTAGTTGGGTCATGAAACGTCTACAAGGAAACAGCCAAGGCCGGGGGAGGGGTATGGACTAGATGACCTACAAGGTCCCTTCACACTCTGTTAATCTGTATCCGTGATAAAAACTTTACTTCCTCAAATATATATCCTTTTACGGAAGCTCCACATGGCTTGATCACATGGTTTGATCAACAAGATATCACCCAATCTCAAGAATAACCCTCCCTTAGAGAATAAAGACCTTTTTACTCAAAGCAGAGTTTTAAAGTTTAGAGTTCCAGACAGCTGGAAAAGTTAGCAACGTAATCACCAGAAGTCTAATTAGTCCTGGGGACACACAGTACATATGTTGCCGATTAAACTGCAGATAAACAATTATATATAAAATGTTCTGGCTACGTTTGCTAGAAATTTGAAAGAAAAATTACCATTTTTTCCATTTCTCAGGGAATTAAAATAAATAAATAAATAAACAGCCTCTGTGTATTACAACATCTGCCATTCCCCCGCTCCCTGTCTTCTGCCAAACTTTAGCTGAGTGGCCTGGCCGTATGCAGTCAAACACATGGGTCCTATCGAAAGCCTACTTGAGGAAGCTGGAAGAACGAATGTTTTGACGGGCGTCCAGCGCTCGCGCTGAGGGTTCAAGAGGATGTGGCATCTGCTTTCAGGCTCAGTTCATCCCATAAGTGAAGTCAACCCAGCTACTGTTCAGAGTTTCGCAGCGTAAATTCAGCGTCAGAAAAGTAAACACAGATGGCTGAGGCTTCATTTAACTTCTTTATAAACACATAAAGTCAATTTTACAATACCGGTTATAGATGTCTCCAACATGGAGCAAACTCAGACAGAAGCAGACAGGTCACAGGTTCAGAGCAGAACAGTAATTCAGGAGCTCAGAAACAGTCCTCAGTTTCACTTTAGTTCAGCAGGCAAGCAAGACAGTTGGGTAATGAAACGTTTGCAAGAAAACCACCAAGGTCAGAGAGCACCAAAGATGACCCCTCTAACTCCTCGGGTTTTCTTGCAGATGTTTCATTACCAAACTAGGCAACAACATCAGAGCTAGCAGGGAGTGGGGTTTGCTCCAGCACTTACTAGCACTTTCCATTCCCTTCCAGCACTGATGATGTTACCTAGTTGGGTAATGAAACGTCTGTGAGGCACCCCCTAAACCTAGAGAGCACCAAGGATCCCACAGTTCAAACCCTGAGCTACAAATATTCTCTTCCATCCAAATGTAACGTGATAGGATATGAATGAAACCCATTTCTTAAAAAGAAATCAGTCAGTGAGTGGATCTAGAACTGTCCTAACAAACCAGAGCTTAAGAGCTCTTCTTAACAACGTTCTGTCACTTACCTCTGGCTGTATAGCTTTAAATACTGGCATATCCATCAGTGTAATCTGACTCTATGATAAAAAAAATGAAAGGAAGAACGATTATGCATTTTGGAAAAACGGACATCTGGCAAGCCCATTGTGGATCTGTCTAGAAGGATGCCAGTGTGTCCAAATTCACAGGCTGTTGCGCTGAACTGAACCAATAAAAGGCTCTTGGGTTGACACCAATGACCAAGAGGCTGCATTTTGATTTTCCTCAGCTATTCTCAAACGCAGTTGAGGTGGTCGCTCATTTACGGCTACTTAAGAGGCAAAGGGCCAAATCCCTTTGTTTAGGAATCATTCCAGTCTTTTTGGGAATGCTGTACAGGGAGATCCTGGACTTACGACCACATTCAAACCCAAACTGAAGTGAAATGTTTATTGTGAGTTTTGCCCCATTTATGACCTTCCTTGCCACAGTTGTTATGCAAATCACTGCAGATGTTAAGTTAGTAATACGACTATAGAGAGGGGGGAGGAAGAGAAAGAGGGAGAGAGAGAGAGAGAAAGAGGAGAGGGAGAGGGAGGAAGAGAGAGAGGGAGAGAGAGAAAGAGAGAGAGAGGGAGGGAGGAGAAAGAGAAAAGGAGGGAGAGAGAAAG